AAAATTCCCACACAACTGAAAGCTGAAATGCAGACTGAAGGCTACGTCCAAGCTAATGTGCTAGATACAGACACTTGACACAGATTCATTAAAGGCTGCAAGGCAATAAAGGGTGTGGGATCATATCTCCCTAGCTTGCACTGTCATTTGACGTCACTTAAGAATGCCTTTAAATGACAAGCCTGTATTGTTCCTGCATTGTCAATGCCAGAGTAAGCATCGTTCAAGGCCATCAGAAGGGGATCTTCCCTGGTCAAGCTCAGACTTCTTTCCAGGGCAGCCAGGATCTCCCTTTGGTTGTCTTCAAACCACCTTTTTTCATTAATTATACGGGGAACAAAGGTGTTTCATTTGGGGGACATACCGTTTTTTAACATTTCCTCAGCACAAGGTGTGTACATTCAGATTTAATTCCACAGGAAAGCAGATCATCCCTGGTTTGCAAAGGTCTCAAGCTATAGTATTTAGGAGATTTCCCAGGAGTCCAGGAATGACTCTGAATCAACACCCAGACATTCCTCTCACACAAAATAGGGACAGATACTACTTTCTTTCCTTCAGTTCAAACCAGACTGAGTGATTAGTTTCATTCTTGCTGTACATAAACACAATATAAATGCCTTCTATTAACACATTAACATCTCTAACTGGCTGTATTTCTATTTTGCTACCTGAGAAATGGGATAACAATTATTTTCTTGATTTCATAGTGTGCTTTGAACCTTGTGGATCAAAGTCCTATATTCAGCACCACAAACACATGCTTGTAAACTACCCGCAAAATGCTGTTCGGTAAAAGGACATTATACAGCTAACCATGGACTTAAGTGATTTTTCAGCACAATCCTTTGAGACTCTTGCTTTTCACATTGGTATTTGTCTTACAGCATTGTCCTGGTACCCAGTGCTGTTGATAGCGTAGCAGAGTTTCCCATAGGCAAAGATTACCAAAAGCAAATTCAAAGTAAACACTAAAAAACTGTTTTAGGATTTTAAACAAAATCTCAAAGTCTGATTTTGAGATATGCTCTCTTGTATGCTCTTTCAAATACGACTTTTTTAAGATTCTTGACGAATATATACAACAATAACGATAGAAACAACGTAACAGGGACGTGACCGAGACGTATTGCAAAACGCTTCCCAGGCAATTTTGAAAGGTAGTTCTTAGGATGCTTAGTGAACTTTTTCATTTTTCAAACACAATAGATAAATAGGAAAAGACATGAACAAAATAGAGTCAAGTTACAATTTTGTCTGGTATTATTCCTAAGCTTTGTTGTGTCTGCAATTAAATAATACAAAGAACATTCCATGCAAAGTTAAAACCATTCTTGAAGAAAGACAATTAAAGCAAATCTGCTGCTCCACTTATTAATGTAGCTGGCCTCTTGAGGTCCCTTCTACTGCTATTTTCTTTAATTCTGTGTTTAGTTTATATATATCTCTGCGAATATCTTTTGTGACTTTTGTGACATTTTAAATATCCTGTATAAGAAATTTCTATTTCTGTAAGGACATAATTATTTTAAAGCTGTTTTACAAGTAATAAGTATTTGGAGGCTGTGTATCTGTTGTAGTTCAGTGGGACTGATTCCCTATCAGTCACCTCATAAAGCTCTTTTATTGGCATCTTTTATTGAAGATTATTGACATCTCTGGCTACAGGATCAAGGCTTAAAGCATGAAAGTTTCCATGACTTCACTATATATTTTAAACATTTGTTTCATGGAAAAGACACAGTTTAAGTGGACAATTTTAGATCTTGTTAAAGGCCTGAAACTGTCAATTTTTACACTTGTTTTTTTCCTGTTCCTTTTTTTTTCCACCTAGCTAGTTGGACAGGTGCATTTAGTCTTTCCACTAAGTTCTTCATATTGCAGGCATTTTCTTTTTTAGTGTATGCATACCGGCACGCATAGCGACAGCAAGGTTAATTCTATCCAGTATACAACAAAGATAAGAAATTAAAATGCCTTCCTTTGAATTTTATCTTTAGCACTTCAATTCTGCTATAAAAATTAGACAACATCTCCTATGATAATAAAGACTGGAAAAAAGTTTTCCGTCCAAATGTCATTTACCAAAAATTGGCCTACCTATACAGATTTTCTACAAGGGAAAGATAGATATTCTGCTTAATATATATCCTGGTAAGTAAAAGAGAAATGCCCGCAAAAAATACTGAGAGCATGTGAAGAATAATTACATTTCTTATCCAGTGCCACAACTGCAGCTACTGCTGCAAAAATTTGCTTCAATTAAGTAAAAACTGTAGCCAAGAAGAACTGTAGTCCAACTCCATTATAGTAAGGATCTCACTGAAAAAGTAGTTTTGCTCTTGATGAAAGATGAGGTCCCAGTTAAGCAAAATTATAATATATCCTACTTTCACTTTCTGGAAAGAATATATTAATATTCATTAACTTAAAGCTGAAATCGGTCATCAGAATACATTGCATAAATTGCAGCTAAGTGCCTAAATAAAGGATTCAAAAACAAAACAAATCTATCAGTTGATCTGCAGAAGCGTCATACAGTCTTATCAATATACTTTCGTACAAAGATGTTCTATCGGGATTTATGATGCTTTTGTGTTTTCTGACCAGACAGCTAGCATATTCTAAAATCAGTGTTGTGCTGGTTTACACCAAGGTTCAGCCCATGAATCCAAAGGCATCCATAAAGATTTTGATCACCACTGTGTCATAGTTTGCATAAACGTGAAACTCTGACTAAATCCTGGAACCCTTAGAGGGAAAAAAATTCTACTAATGTGAGAGTTTTACTTGATATGGATTTTAAGAATCAGATCTATGGCAATATACTATTCTACTAACCATAAGCCTGGGTGTGCATAACATACATTCAAATATGGCACTTAGTAAACTCTAGAGATACCTAGATGGCATGATGCTATAAGGTTCACGAAAAAGAGAGCTGAATAAAATAGTAGGTAGGAATTCATAAATCTTTTAAGTCTCTCAAAGCATAGAAGTGGTATTACAACAGTTTCTAGTACTGAAAATCCGCAAGACAGACTAAAAAGATATAAGCATGTACAGTTCCCTGTACCCTTTCTAGAGGTGCCACTGATAAACACTTCTCAAGTTCAGGCTCTGTATCTTCACTCTTTGGATCTCATAATATGTATCATGAAAATAGCGTTAAGAGAGTGGAAACCCAATTACTTGGTCAACAAGTTCCAGCAATACAATCACATGTTGAGACACACACTGTTTATCAAAGTTGCTAACGTACTGCAAAGTATGAAAGCTTTTTCTGTGTATTGCCTGGGCTAATCAAGACTGATGTTGATAGGGTTTTCTGAGAACTGAGAAACGGCAACGTTGCCATAATATGAGCTACAGCCAAATTCAGAGACGTGCATTTTCAAGATCCCACTCTCCACGTTCTTTTAACGCTTCAGTCTATTAATTCTTAGAACTGGAATCATCACTGGAGAGGAGAGGTGACCTAAAACTGCCGACTTTGAAACTTAAGTGATAACTGAAGTAATTGAAGAAATTCTTGGTACTATGGAGCTTTGTAAGCAGGGTTCCTTCAGCTATTACCTCCACAGTGGTCAGCTGCTAAGAGCATTCTTAATTAATCCCCACTTTGTTCAGACGTGCTCTTGCAATACCTCTAACTATTCAGATGTATTGGTGGGCATCCTGCGTCTTCTCATTCTGATTGCACAGTTAAATCCTAATAAGAAATGCCTACCTAGTGTAAAGGACATATTCTTTTCTCAGCATAAAACAGACTGCACACACATCAGCACGCAACGATGAAGACACAATCCCTGCATTTCAGCAGACTTATTCAATGCCTAGCAAAACCTGTTGCCCTTTTGAGGTAAAATGTATTTCTCTATTATGGCACATGTTCAATATATACAGTTACATTACAACCAAAACGAAAGTGTCCTAAACACATAGGCTGAGATGTTTGACTACAACTTATTCACATTAATCCTCACGTGGTGTGGGATGCTGCTGTTCTATGGAAAGTTTTACTACATTAATAATGACTTTGTCTCAATATACAACCTATAATATATCTAAGTACACTGAATAGGTAAGATTCCTTGTATAAACCCTCGATTAAATATACTTGTCTAACAATGTCACCTTATAGGTTTGTTTGAGATTGGTAAAAATATATATATATGTACGCAGTCTCCCAGTGCACAGGATTCAGCGATTGACTTTTAACTTGCTGCTGCCAGGCTTTAGATCCAAATACTGGTTATTACACTGTATTTAGAGGAATATTTTCTCATTCCAAGGGAGAACAGAGTTCTGGAAAAATTCTTGACGTGCACCCAAAATGCAAGAGAAGTAGTTCCGTTATGGCCCACATTACAACACCCAGATTAGGGTAATATGTCAAGTTACTTGCAAAGCCCAAACTGTAAATGAAAAGTTAAGGAAGAAACCTCACAGATTCATATAGTCAAACAACAAAGTTGTCAAAGAGTTGGTGCCAGCTCATCTGCTATCTTTTTTACAATGCTACACAGTTTATGCTAAGTTACAATCCTAGACCACAAAGTTATTTGTGAAATAAATTCCTACAGTTAAGAAATATTCAACTGGTTACAACATCTCCAAGTTCTTGTATTCCTTCTTTATCTTTGCACACTACATGAGCATTGCAGAGAGAAAACAAAACAGCAGTTAATGCGATAGCTGCAATATGGCTTCCTATAAGAAGGACAACATTTAACTGCCTTTGATACTTTTCTTTGTCCAGTATGCATTTCTATGTGCGAGTGTGTGTTCGTGCGCGTGTTTGCGTGAGCATGTTTTCTTCTCCTTTTTATGGTGCATTTCACTGACATATTTAATAGTCATTCATTCCCATAGTATTTGCTTACCATAACTTATAAATTGAAGTGTTTTGTAATACTTTTGTAATACTATATTTACAAACAAGTTGGCACTTACAGAATAAATTATTGATTCCTCTTTTTTATTTTATTTTATTTTGTTTTATTTTCCTTTTTCTTTCCTCTTCTTTTTTTACCCCAGGGCATCCAGAATTCAGGTAGAATGGTGAAACCTGCTGCCTGCTTCCATTATGCTACATTAACATGAATAAATAGGATTCCAGCTGGTACATTCTTTCCCAATAGTTTCTTGCTGGTAAGAGGCAGTGCCTTCCACTTCAGTTCATCTTCGATGCTCAGGAACTGTTAGTCAAGTGAAAGCAAAGGCTGCATGTTTTCTTCCTCATTCTTATCCATGCGTTTTAGCACCCCAGGATCCACAACTGATTGAGACCTGCAGAAGGATAACATGTTTATCTGACATTTCCAGATCAAGTCAAATGAGGGCAAACCTCAGCTTTCTTTTGTTTATTTTCATTTTTGCCAGGGCTTAAAAATAATGGTACAGGCACCGTGAGCATCTGATCATAGCAAGTGGTTAGAAAATACCCTCATGAAATGTCTACATGGCTTTAACAGGCTCGGGGCTAATTTGTGGATATAGTGGCAAAAAGTGGAATAAAGGGATTCTCTTTTTTTTCAATGAAATAGTGAAGCAGGCTTCATCCTTAATAAACAATAGGGGGTAAACTAAGCTGTCTTTTGCAATGTCCTAAGCATTAACCCTCTTGACCAGAGGGCTATACGGCAGTGGGCTAGTAAAGAAGGTATAATTCAGCAACCCAGCTGGCTAATGGCATGTTGCAATTAGTGACGTGTTAGCTCGAAGCACAAGTTGCTCCTTTTCTGAACAGCACTTAAATGCAAAAGCGCATGCTGCTAAGCCAACCCTGGGGAACTCTGCCACAGCCAGCAGGATTTCTGGAGCAGTGGACATGTCTGTCAAATGCTCTTATCAGCTTAACTACACAGAGCACAGATGGATGGTAAGGGCAAATTCACTGATGACTGTAAAATGTTTAAGATCCTCTGGTTCACTACAGAATTATAACACCAGTACTACAATACACTGCAACAGCCACGTGTGAGTGAGAAGGAGCAGATATAGCTTTCAGCAAAACCAAAATGCTCCATTAAAAATAAAGTTTGAAGCGTTAAGAATGGGACTCACCTGACCTATGCCTCAGCTTGTCAAAAAATAGACATTTTTAGGATACAGTACATGAACCCTTTGTTAGATGTCTCCTTTAGAGTGAGATGAATCGCATGCTAGAAATGTTCATTTCTCTCCCTTTCTGTAAAGAGAACTTGAGACAGCTAGAAGCACATGTGCATCTCTACAATTTAAGCATCTATTTTCAGTCAGAGGAAGTTCACTGTAAGGGGCTGCAGCATTACTACCAGTTGGTGTTTTGCAGTGCTACAGCACAGAGAGAAAGCATTATCAATTCCAACCTCTCTCATAAGACGAACCTATAGAGCCAATTCTCCATTTATAAATTGGCACCATCCGCTGAAACCAATGAATGAGACTGTTAACAGGAAACAATTTGGTCGGTCTCAAAAAAATTAAAGAAAATCTTCAAAAACACAAATGAGGAAAAATATCTGAAGTAAACCCAGAGTGAAAGCTTTAAATCCAAGGATATTTTCAAATAACATTTACTACTCTTTCTTGCTAATGGCAAAATCAAGAAAATTAGCTTTAAAAATCTGGTGCTCTCTCTTGTGATAAACATAATTAAAATTTTTTAATTAATATTATGCAATAAGCCTCATCTAGAATATTGGTCAATTCCTCAGGCAGACAGTGATCCCAATGAATTAAAAACAATTTTTTTTAACTGCACAATGTATTGTGCTAACGTAAAGCTGATTGAACGCTGTGGAAAGCTATATTCTTGGAAAATCCAGTTCATTAGTATAAAAAAAGCTGTGGGAGCAGACCAATTTCAAAGAATTCCCAATTGAATGTAAGTACGAATAGGAGATTGACATCCTTCTTCCTAGGCTGTCAATATCTCAGCAGCCAAGGTGTCTAGGAGTTCTCATCTGGTGAACTGAAGGGGAGCCAGAAAGGCTGCAAACATAGCCTCAAATTCCCAGGGGGGAATTTTGCTCATAAATTCCCAGGGCTTCCAAACTCCTAGATTCTAAGGCAGATTTTAACTGAACAAATCCTGATCTAAGGCTTTTAAGTTCAGGAGCCCAAATGCCTTGCAGAAGAGGGGAAAATAGTTTTTAGTCAGTTTTAAATCAACGTTTATTGTCACATTGCATTCCATGCAGCAGTAATTCACGGATTAAGTCATATGAGAGGAAAAACACTTGTGTAAGTCCATTTCACCTTCTATATATGTCTCCCAAGCAACTCTACAGACACTACTGATCAAATTCTCACAAATCACAGTAGGACAGAGCTGTACTACTAATTCTTACCTTAGAAAGGAGGAGCCAAAGACAAATACATCTGTTCAAAAAAGCAATCAAGCTGTGGTTAGCAGCAAAAAGTGTCCCAGTCACTGGAGCTCCACCTCTGCGCCTTAACCATGAGAGCCAAGGGCGGACACTGCGTCTGTCTCAACAACTTTGCTGCAACTGTGCCGCATGATGTGAACTTAAGCCTTAGAGGCACCTGCTACAGACGGCACTAATTCTTCCTTAACTCCACCAGGCACCCTATGATAAGCCTTCCTTTCCGGGCTCCTCCAACTCAACCAAAGGTCCAGGAGGTCTAGAGCATATATTAGGAATTTCAGTGCTAATATGAGCAAATATGAGTAACGAAGAAAAGAATTCTTAGCAGGATTTTGGTATAAGAAGGGTATTTTTTCAGAGTAATAAACTAATTCTAAAATGGCAAGCCAAATTAAACAAGATAATTGTTGGAGACATGTTAGACCCCTATGAAATTTGGTCTATGCAGTTATGCAAATTCATTATTACTATTATTATTATTATTATTATTATCATCATCATCATCATTATTATCATCATCATTATTATATTATTGTCACATTTTTAGATGTTAAAAAATTGTTTTGGCAGTAACTTACCACACTGACTGTGGTTTTAAAACTAGGGAATATGAATCCATCAATTGCCACGTTCAATTTAAATTCATATTTAAACTGAACAGAATTTACCTACTTCTATCTTTGCATCAATGAAATTGTAACGTGGTCTGTATATTTAATACTCCAAAGTCCTGGGACTTTCTCCTTAGCATCTTATTACTATTCCCTTCTATGTGGACTAGCACAGTAAGCCTACTCTGTACTTTTTCATGTAGAACAGCTGGGAAGGAGGATTCCAGTAGACACTGCAGATACACTATCTGAAAATGTGAGAATCTATATAGAAGGTGAGGACATTCAGCTGAATATTATATAGATATAATTCTCAACACGTTTATTTTCTGCTATATGTCTCCTACTGTGCCAGCTAACCCAGACAGAAAGACTATCAGACAGTAAACTGAAGATCAATTTGAAGTTTACACTGAAGTATAATTCTGCATCAGAGATTTTTCAAGCACAGGTTAAATGAGAAGAAAATAGGTAAGTGTTTTCTGCTTTGAGAAAGGATGGAGAATCTAGTAAATGCACTACAAAGGTTTTCCAATTAATAATGCCCTTCTCCAGGATAGTCTGGAAAATCTACCTCCAAGGGTCTTGTTACTGGCTTTCTCATGTTTTCTTGTTGCCTCCTTGATGAGGCTGTTTTTCTCCCATGACTTCATTTTGCAACAGTGTTTCACCCCTCTCTCCAAGGCAACTTCCCTAATGTCTCATAATTCTTGTAGTATGTGCAAATCTTATATGAATGTATTGCTCACTTTCTCCACTTTCCCAGACTCTTCACTAACCTATTTTCTCCATTGCTCTTGCTAACTGCATCTTTGACGTATGGATTCAGGACCTTTCTTAACTTCTCATTCCCAGCCAGTCTCTACCTATTTTCCACTTTCCATACATTATTTTCCAAGACTCTTCTCTCTTCTGCAGCAAATGCTATCTCCTGAAACTGAATTTTCACGTTAGCACAGTCTGACTTCATTTAAAGCCTTTCTGCTCTGTATGTCCTCTCTGACTCATGGCTAGACCTACCCATTTAAGAGCTGAACTCTGACTTTTGCTCCTTTGCTCAACCCTTTGTATCACACTCTTCAGGACATTTGGCCTTTCTCTTCTACCTCCCTGGCAAGGTCAAACCAGATTCACCTCTCCCATGTGAATCATCTCACTGCTTCCACAGTTACTGTAAAGACAAGTAACCTCTCCCCATACTTTATTTGATTTAGAATGGTAAAATGCAGCAAGCAATTATACTGTGTCTTCTTAAAGAGAAGAGTATCAGACTGTGAAGATGTTTATCAACCCAAGTACAACAATTTGCACAGATTCTTGTGCTGGTTTTCCTCATTACTTTTTCTCATGCTGTGTGCAGTAACTGTGACTGAAAGGTCAGGTGCTGTAAATATTGTGGCATCCACAGGCTGGTGGATAACTGGCACTCAGTTATGAGATTGGAAAAGGTAAGAATCATCACCGCTATCTGGCTGGACAATTATACACATTTTATCCTCTGCCTTAAGGCTCACTCCAGCCAGCACTGGCTCTCTAATGCCTACTGTAAGCTCAGGCAGGACATTAGCTTGTTCTGAATACAATGCTATGTGCACTACCTGAATGGCACTGATGAAATAATTCATCATATTGAACTCTCAACACACATGGGCAATAACCAATACTGTGGGCGATAATCAACAGGGATCTTCTTAAAAAAATCCTCCTACAAAATAAACTGAAGAAATTGCCTATAGCTTCATAAAACATAAAAAGGAGGAAGGTAAACATTAACTTCACAGCAGTACTAGAAGACCACAGTAACTTCAACACACCTTTTCATGGATTTGGGAGAAAGGTCCTTGTCTAGATCTTTTGCAGGAGCATTGTAGGAGTCGACATTGCATTCACTGTCATCATCATACTCGTGGTCTAGCAGTGTTCTTGCCCAAGTCCCCATATCGTAGGGGGGCAACATTCCTCCAAATTCAGAGGGTAGGATCTCAGGATGTATTAGCTGATGCAGACTGTTGAGGTTATTTCCATGCAGGAATATCTGTATATACATGTGGAAATTTAAGAAAAGCAGTATCACACAAATCATCAAAGCCTAAATTGCATCATCATTATCACTGCATATTGTATGGTATGAATATTCTGTCTGTGCTAGGCTTGCAGAGTTAGTCACCCAAGGCAGACATTGCACCTGCCTTGAGTACGGTCAGTCTATGTTCGCAGTCCTGCAAATATACGATTGCTTAAAATACAAATAACTTCAAAGGTTTGCAGGACCAGGGGCCTAAGAAGGGTAAGAATTGGTGTCAGATAGCTAGACAGATAAAAAAATTAGACAGAGAGACTCTCTTTTATGTTATTTGTTTTTCCTAATATCATGAAATAAAGTAAATAAATTAATAAATAAAATCAACATCCAAAACATACATTAAGGAATATACATTGACTCTCGGCATCCAGCCATCAATTCTACAAATAAGATAAATAGTGCAGTGGAATGATGATCCCACTCAAGACATTTTCTTCCCTAATATGGTAATACTAGTAACCACCACCCATAGTTGACAATGTATGAAGTAAGTGAAAACAATAAGATAATTTATGTGAGCAGCGTGACGGAGTAGTTGACAGACTACTTCATATTGTCCATCGGTGCTTTGGTAGAATGATTTATTTCCAGATATGCTCTACATACAAATACATATGTATTTATGTGTGTGTGTGTGTCTACACTTATACACATAAAAGCTCTTCCTTTCTCCTCAAAGATTTGGAATATGTGACCTATAGGCATTAGACACTGGATTTGGAGAGCCTTCTCCCACTGATATGAGGGACCTGCAGACCTTCCCCCGAGAGGAAATGCCTATTGTAGGTTATGGCTGCACAAACTCTCAGTGCCTACTTCTATACTAGCAAATAAGACAGGCCAGGATTCACTCTCTGGCACAGAGCGATTGCCATGGCACAGTTCACACCATTTGGTTAAACTCACTTTATCTCCAAAGGAGGCTTACCTCATCCATAGTGTTCACTGGTCTGTGTTACGCCCTGAGTTGTTCCTGGGCCATGCCTAAAAAAACACGAGCTGGCACAGGCCAATACCATGCCAGAGGGTGCCCATAATCAAACCGGATGAATGCTTACATACCAGGGCTCAAGCCTATGCCCAGTCCCTTTTAATTTCTTAGTACAGAAGCAGTCAGTAAGGCAAGGTAGGTTGCTGCCTTGTACCAGCTGCGAGCTACCTCTCACTCACTGCAGAGTGCGAGTTACGCACAGATGGATATCACTGAGCTGCTGGAGTGCTGTCCATTCAATCCCTGTCTACCCTGCATTGGCTTCTCTGGATAGCTATACCCCTAAAATAATTACTAAGAGTTAAATTCAAAGGGGAGAAAGACAAAAGACCAAATATGTGTTTATTTCAGCTGATTTTCCAATCAGCTCTGGAGATAAGAAAGTGTAATACGAAAATGCAAACCCAGCAATTGTCCTTCCAACTTGGGATGGACTTACCCTTGTGTGAAATAACAGATATTAATGGCAAATATAATTTGTTTTATAGTGCCTTTCAAACTGAATGTTTCTCTTTTTAGGAATGCTTTTATGCCTAGTATAATGCTTAGGTATTATGCCTAGTACTACTTTATCTTAATATAGTTATTGGTTGAAAACCTATCAGACATATGCAAATAATATAAAATAATTCAGAATAAACACAACAGATTAACAATAAGCCTGATTAAATTCTGAAGACAATAAGAGAATTCTGATTTTATTTCACAATAATTTATTTATTTATGTACTTATTTTCCTGAAAGTTGATTTTAAATTATATGTGCTAAGACACAACATTCACATTTTAACATTAAATTTTGGACTCAGAATCCATATTTAACCACCTGACCTACTTTATATAGGTATTCAGTTTTGAGAAAAACAGCTGTAGAAAGTGAGAATTCACGAAAATATAAGCCACTGATTCAGGTGTCTAAATAAAAATCTAGATGCCCAGCTGACAAGCACCCATATTCATCTGCCTTGCCCCTTATTTTTAATCTTGTAACATATTCATGGGCTGTACTTTACTCCTCAGTTATGCATCCACAGCACTTGCCTTAAATAGGCTTCAAACATATCTGGCACTAAAATGTTCTTTGTTGAAGCTATAGTCAGTGGAGCGCAACTGAATCCTGCAAAACGGGTTTTCGTTTGCATATTTATAACACATATTACATAAAAGGCTTTGTGATCTATAGTTCAAAATCTGTAAGTACCAGAGGTCTCTGAAGCATAATCTGTCAGTAAAAAAGAGCTAAACACCAAGGATCACTATGGCCTTGTAGACTGTGTTTGAAGAGACAAAAAATATAGAGCTCCTTAGAGAGCTGCTCCTGTAAAAAACAAGACTGTCATAATCTTTGCAGTGGCTTTGTGTATGATGCTGATTGGGCTTTCCCGGATGACAAATTTCCTGTTACAGAAATAATATCATTCTATGTGCTATCACCATCAAGCTCTAACTTAATTGCATTGATGTAAATGTTGCAAATTAAGCAACATCTTAGAAACTACTGGTGCTTGTGCACAGATGCATGTGCACAAATATCCTTCTACAGGTTTTTCATTCAAAACAGTATTTTCAATCTAGTCTGTGCGAACTGTCTTTTAGTTCACGCTAACGTCAAGGAAATCACATTAGGAAAGGACTTGGCACTCGCTACTTTTGTTCTTAAAAGAAAAATAGGGATTGTTTTAATGTTTTGCCACTATGACTTTCTTATGGGAATTGTAATGTTGACAATTTTTATATAACCCAAGAGAAAGCATATGCTTACAACTAAAAATACATTTTAGTGCACTGCTTGGCTGTATCCTTGAAAAATAAAGCTATGTATTTTTCTAAAACAGGTGAAGATACTCTTTACAATGCAGACATATTTAAATGCATTGCATCAATAACAAGCTGAGATATTACATCTACTTTGCCACAGTATGGTACATTTGCTAGCTATAAATGACTGATAATGGAAAATCAAACAGAAGAATACCCTTTTCCGTGTCTTCTCCTTTAAGAAGGGCCGTATAACTGTGTAGAGGGCATGGATATACCACGGCTGATTGACGAAATGTATTCCTCCAAACCGAGCAGGAAAACTGTCCTATATGTCACAAAACAAAAACATACAAAGTGAGTAGACTCTTAACTGAAGTTGTATATGTATCAGATCAATTTTTTATGCTGAATGCCTTCATTTTTACAGTAAACCTGAAAGGATAAGAAATATTCTTTAAAACTGTGTCCTCTTGGTAGAGTTCCAAATTTCCATGCCTGGGTGTCAACACATCATACACGCTACACAGAGCAGTTATGAAGTGCACTGAAATAACTATAGTATTCTAATAAAGGCATGGCATTTCCAACCTCCAGATATGCTTTAAACATTTACAATTTGCACATAATCTACCTACACAATGTATTTTTCTCCTTCCCACATTTATGGAATTTTATTCATTTTTAATAGTATCCCTCCTATAACATAATGTCATCTCTTCCATTGTCACTAAAGAACACCAGCAATGTCCCTCTTGTTTTCATCTTTAAAAAGCAAGTGCAAATCTACACTACTGTTCAAAATGTCTCCGATATTATTCATATTTCATAAAACTAAGAATGCATTAGACATTACTATTATGCAATACTACTGACAGTAATTCTACTTGCACAGTCACAGGCCTTCTGGGAGCTTAAATTTAAGGATAGAATATCTGCAATGACCCCTTTTCTTGTTGAAAAACAAAAGGGGAAGATAACTCCCTAACAAAGACTCTGATCTGCATTTTCAGTTTCCAAAAGTCAACAAAACATGCCAAATGGTTTGGTAGTTTGAAGAGGATAGCCACTCTAGAATACCATCACCAAATTCATTGCATGTCCTCATTTTATCTTTGCCTGATTGATCATATGCTCTAATAAAGCAATAAGCTGTTGCCATCTTTTATGTTGCCCAGACTTACAGTACTGGGCAAAGAAGCAAGATACATAAACAGGCATACAACCTGACATATGACCTTCTTCCATTTTCAGAGGTTATGTCAGAACCTTCTTGGTGTTTAGGTACACAGATATATTAAATGAATGACTTTCATTTGAATCATTATTCAAAAGGTCATCCAGCCTAGACAATCATGTTAGTCACTTTGCTCAAAACCAGGTTTCCTCATAGCAGCAGCAATTCCCATCTCCCTGCCTGACAATACGGGTGCAGAACAGGATGTGCTTCCCAGCTTCACCTCCTCTCGTGTGGCTGCAACAGAGGCAGCTTTAGGTCTATATTAGCGCAATCAGAGACTCAGAAGGAAGCAATAAAATGTTTACTTGGGGCACTCCGTGTAAATAGACACATTTTTATCTCCTCTGGAGACAAGATAGCAGACCATAAGGAAGCATCCAACGGCATAGACCCGAAGGCCATTTGAAGCATACTGATTTAAGGACATGCAGCACAAAAAAAAGCAGCAAAGAAAAATCACAGGCTATAACAACCAATCAAGAACTCTCAAATCAGGAAGGCAGGAACTATTTAATGAACATGACAGGAAATCTTTAATGAAATGTTTCCAGACAGGAGTATACTCTGACACAAAGTGCATGTGCCAAGAAACTTGCTTAGTTCTGTGACTGAGTACAGTGCTATATTAAGGCTGAAGAGGCTACTTGCTCCTCTCAAAAGCACCATTCAAATAATGGCAGGTATTCCCAACCCAGGCAGTCTTTACACCGGTCATATCCATACAGAAGCATGACAGGACTGAAAACTTCAAAGTCAAAAAAAGAATATTTGCATGCATGCTGTGCTTGTGTAGCACTCACAAATGCAGACATACACACTTAGTTTTACAAAAACTCAGTCTACATGTACGCTACTATGGTATTTTATTTCTCCCTTCTCTCTTTGACCTCTTTTACTAGGAGAGTATCACCTGCCCCATATTGCAACACCTCGATGGATTACTAGATGAAATATTTTCCATCAGGGAGGTGACACTTCAACAACATTCTACAGAGAATGACGGCTACGACAGATACATAACTGACATGTGGCTGGCCACAGCACAGCAGTCAATGCAATTAACAGTCCATTTTACAGACGTTCTCCAGAAACATTTGATTAACAACAGGTTTGAAATAAAACAATTCTATTGAAAGACTGTTTTACAGAAACCTCATTTTGTTAAATGCCTAGATCCTGGCAACACTGACTGTCCAACAGAATGGTTGATAATTTGACATGTAATTCACCTAGTTCAATATCATAAATCCCTAAACACCATTTTGAGAACATAACCTCTGATGTAGGAAAGGTAGTAAATTATGTCCCTGTCAGAAGAACCTAACAAATCCGTTAAGAAGGATAAATCATTGAATGACATTTTAACCTTTAGTGGCAGGAGATACCATTCACCCACAGAAGGTTGTATTTATTGAACTTATTCAGGCTGCTGCTCCAGCAAAGAAGCACAGTGCAGCATGCTGGGTATCCTGAGCAAAAAAGAATGCAAACAAAGCAAAAAAGAGTTGCAGAAGACATCTTTTGCTAATTTCATCTGGATGCCTTTGAAGATATCTTCAGAATTAACGTTGGAATGTAAACTGTGTTGAGCTTCTTGGGGGTCAAACACTTTTTCTAATGTAGGCAATATGGATGACATCAAAGTAAACTAGCCATTCCTAATATTAGATAATGTCTTCTTTCATGATTTTATAAGCTTTTAAATTAATGTAATTGCTCCTAAAATTACACACACAAGACATAGAGTTATGAAATGTTTGTTCTTTATTGCTCAAAAATGTAAACCGTACAAATTGAGGCCAACTTGTGAGTGAAATGATCCCAAAAGGTAAGACAGTCATGCACAAAGACTGATTCAGAATACAGAGCCAAAGGGACCTGTATTCCATCATATGTTCAAAATGGATGATTGCTCATACTTTTTTGAAGATGTTTAAGATGATATTACATTTCTAGCAGACAAAAGAAGTATCTTTAGAAAGTAACACTTTCGCACTTCCACTATCTGTTTCGGCATCTTGGAATCCATTTACATAGAGGGTCATGAATGTATGTGGAATGATCCTCAAATAGGAGATGCCACTTAATATTGCAAGACAGATTGTCTCAGAGTTTCAGCAATTCAAAAGGCATTTTCAAAAACTAACTAACGATGTCGGGTACGTAGCAATTTGAGTGACTGAACTGAGAAGCCTTTCCTAAAATACAAGCTGTAATTGAGAATCCCCAAAATGGAGGCACTGGAAGAGATGAGGTGGTCAAAACGATCCAGCATGATCCACAGTGCTGGGCCTAAAAATCAAAAGCTCTCAAATGTTGATCTAAAACTCAGTTTCATAGAACTGAGTACTTGGTGAGAAAATAAAGAGTCAGAATGAGCAACTATTGCTGCTGGAGAAACCAGTGTCAGAACTTTGTCTTGCTCTTCTCAAACACAACAGGCTTCCATACCAGGATCTGTCAGACAGATGGCCTTTCTACACAAACAACAGGTAAGAATTTCTTCCAAATACTGATTGTTGTGTTTTTATGTAATTAAGTCATAGGCTTGGTGGCAGTCACAACTGCCTCTGTAGACATATTGCACTTCAACAAAAAAACATGTAATGTAACCCATGAATCATATGAATTCCATGTAAAAGGAATCCCATGCCTGAAAATGGTAAGAAACAGGGATAAGCCATGAAGCAAGTAGTGCACCTGACTGAAAAAGTCTGATGGGGCATTATCAAATCATTAAAAGGAATGCATCTCATCTAACTAATTATATAAACATGGTATGTGGATTTTTTAGCATTCACCACAATCTCTGACTATACAGAAGAACACAAACCAGTCGTGCCTCTGATGAACACCATTTGGGACATGGCCATTCCACAGACGCAGACAAGCAGGCAGCTATAATTAGGGCCTAGAGCTCTCATGATACAAGGCTTACAAGTAACAGTTAACAGCGTGCCAGCAAGGAAAAGGCAGAACCTACA